AGCCGACGCCAGGTTGGAGCAGGGCGGCTGCACCAACGACCGCGGAGAGCTGGAGCACCCCGGCATTACCGCGCGTAAGTGCGGCGCTCCTGGGCGGACCCGGCTGTGTCCACCAGACACAGGCACGCTTTATTAGCTCGGGGCGCAAAGTGAACTCCTCTGGGTCTGGGTGACCGAATTTCAGATCAGGGATCCCATTGCTTTGCAATTTAGATCCCAGCTGCACGTGGTCCCCGCGGTTGGGTCCTAAGGAAAGTTTGCAAGGGATTGCGGGGACTGTGGGGCTGGCGTGCACCTAGGGAAGACAGCTGGAGCTAGCCTGGGTTTTCTTGGGCTCTGGTTGCTTTGGGAGCTCCGGAAGTGTCAGAAAACGCAGGGGCAATTGTGGTCAACGGACCCGATCCATTCCGCAGGCCGTACTTCTCTTCTCTTCTCTTCTCTTCTCTTCTCTTCTCTTCTCTTCTCTTCTCTTCTCTTCTCTTCTCTTCTCTTCTCTTCTCTTCTCTTCTCTTCTCTTCTCTTCTCTTTCCTTCCTTCCTTCCTTCCTTCCTTCCTTCCTTCCTTTCATTCTTTCTTTTCATTTTGTGTTTGGTGTCTTTCTTCCTCCTTCTTTCCTTTCTTTGCCCACCCCTGTTTTTGGTAGAGTGATAGCATTTCCTCACTCTCCCAAACTTCCTTTACTTCTCAGAACTATATTACCCCCTCTGCCCACCCCCATTGTCACGCTTTTCAGAAACACCCAAATCTTCGAGGTGGGATTTAAAATTCAGGGTCACAGGGCTTCCTCAAGGTCCTCTATTCTCACATCGGAAAACACGGCTCAAATTTCCGCTCACTTGCTCACTTAGGAGCTGAATAAATCACGACTCCAGCAGAGGAAATTTACACCTTGAAAAAAGTTTTCCACTTGAATAGGAACATTAGGGAAACCTTTTACAGCTCAAGGCGATGGTTTTATTGCCAGGAAACCTGAGAAGTGTGCGGAACTGAGAGCCTGTGACTGTGAGGCTGAGGCCTGAATCCTGCACACTAAGATCCCATGGAAGGCAAGGGGAGAGGGGCAGGAGAGACCATCCTTGTCTCATCCTCCAAATGGCAACCCAGAGGAAAGGGGGCCAGGAGCATCCCGGGGCTCTCTTCTGGGATTTAGTTTTCGTGGTTGGGGACGGTGTCAACATTTCCAATCCTGGGGATCTGGGAAGTAGTTTCTAGACTACTTAGTGGAAAGCAGGGAACTCTGGGCTATCCTGGCCTATGGGAACTAGACTTTTCTGCTAGTTCCCTGTCCTTTACTAGGGACCCAGCTCCTCTAGGCTGGGTAAGCCAGCCTCCTCTTGGAGCAGTAGGAGGGTGGTGGGAGGGGGGCAATCTAAAAAAGAGAGCAGAAGACAGGAATACTCTCACCATGTAGTGAGTCTGAGATCAGGCCAAACCAGATGGATAGTGGCTTGTCTCCTGCCAGCAGTTTAACCTCTGGTGACTTAACTGCACTGGGCTACTTCTCAAATTTAAAATGGGCAATTGCCATCAAAGAATCATTTTATTGATGAAACCAGCATACAGCTGCTTGGCGAAGTGCACAGGTCATACAGGCCACTTTTGCCTGGCCTTATACACTTCTGGTACTCACATAGTGGGGCATAAGGGATGGTGAAGAACTAACTTAGTAGCCCTTAGGCTGTACCCTTTTGCTCACTGGCCTTGTCTCTGGGAAAGTAAAAAGCTCTCTGATATGTATCCATATCTAGAGAGGAGGGAGTTTCTATCTCTTGTGGCCTAGGTGGTAAAACCAATCAGATACAGAAAAAATGCACAAGGGCCCTGGTCAGCTCAGGTGTTTGTCTGCTGCCCAGAAACTGGAGGCAGCCTCTCATCTTGGTCTTTGACACAGAGTAGCAACTGGGACAGCTGTCCCATGATACCTCTGGGGTGGTAGGGGTGGGGGGGAATAGGGGGTGTGGGAGGGGTGGGGAGTGGGGAAGTGTCTTAATTTTATTGTCGTTTTAGAGATGGAAGCAAACAAGGGTTTGCGTCTGAGGGATACCAATACCAAGAACTGCATGTTGTTCTATCTGTGGGTGGGAACATAGAGACAGAGGTATGACATCTGGAATCAGGACTGATGATTTGTGAGGTGGTGGGAGTTGCAGTAAATTGGGGGTCACTGCAGACTGCTTTATCATTCTAGAGTCCCATAACACCTCGGGCTCCATTTAACAGTTCTGGTTCTTTTATTAGACTGGAAACATTTGGGCAGGTGATGGATTGTCAGTGTAGATGGGTTAGGCTCTTAAGTGTGACAGAACTCCTAAAACCTAGGAGTTAAATGCACAACCAGGGTACCCCTCAACTCACCTTCTCCCTTCAGTGTATGGATAGGGTGACAGGCTGTTCATTTCTAACTTCCAGATGTTCAATATGATGGCTAATTGCTACCAGAGGCTATGACATCAGTTTGCTGCCTCCCTACTAGGGGCAGCAAGAACATTCCATCATCATAGTTTGTGATTTGGAGGTTGCCAGTCACATGCTCTGAAAAGCTGAACAGTAGCAATAATGAGCCTTCTGCTTCTCACATCAAAGATGCTAAAGCAGAGACTGGGGAGTGAGTGGCCTTTATCCATCATCTCTGTGTGTCTCTTTTTGCCTTTTAGAGCCTGTCTACGTCCCCTTCCTGATTGTCGGCTCCATCTTCATTGCCTTCATCATCTTGGGCTCTTTAGTGGCTATCTATTGTTGTACCTGTTTGAGACCCAAGGAGCCCTCACAGCAACCAATCCGCTTCTCACTCCGAAGCTATCAAACAGAGACCTTGCCCATGATCCTCACCTCCACCAGCCTCAGAGCTCCTTCCAGGCAGTCCAGCACAGCCACCAGCTCCAGCTCCACAGGAGGCTCTGTCCGAAGGTTCTCCTTTGCCAGGGCTGAGCCAGGCTGCCTGGTACCCTCATCACCCCCTCCTTATACCACTGGCCATGCCATACACCTAACCCAGCCATCTGGTTTCCTGGTGTCACCCCAGTATTTTGCCTACCCTCTCCAGCAGGAACCCCCATTACCTAGGAAGAGCTGTCCGGATTTCAGTTCCAGTTGATGGGCAGTGGCTTCGAATAGTGAAATGGTAGCCAGCTGGAATATTGCTACCCTGGCCAAGCCAAACTTGCTTTTGGAGGAAATTTGTGGTAATGCATCGTGATTATGGAAGAATGGTCCAGAAAGATACAGCACTTTCTGGTCTTGAGGTCCTTGGCTATGGATGTCTGACTTTGCAAACATGATGAACATTGCAACTTATTCATTTTTTGTTAAAACATCCAGCAGTTTGATGTTCAGTTTGCAAGTTGAAGGAAAATATTTTACTGGACAATTCAGCTATTCTTTGTAGAAAAGTGCCCTGTGTTCCTTTTCCTGTGTTGATTGAATTATAATACAAATATATACATAAATAAGGAAGGCCATACACTTAATTGTAATTGTAAAGGTTCACTTAAAATTTAACTGTTAAGTAAACTCGAGGGGCCAGTGAACCACCTATTTATAATTTTGGGAGTGACCTAACCATAGGTAATATTAGTATGATGAGAATATTTACTTCTTAAATTAATAACAAATTTTGTTTAAAATATAAGTATTCTTTTTCCAAAATACATGGTTTCAGTAACCACATGGGAAGATTAAAGTTTTAAATATATACTTAGACATTTGTTGTAGCACAGACTCTGTGTAAAATCACTTCCTCTGTCAACCTAGGGGAATATTTATTGCAGACTTTTTGTTCAGCAATATTAGCGTTTAAAATGAAAGTTGGACAATTGGGTCTTAAAACATTTATTTGTAAAAAGAGTTATATATAAATGTGAAGATTTGTAATTTAATTTACTTACCACAATGACAGTACTAATTACTTAGAAGTCACACTGTAACTTTTGTGGAAGTCAAAGGCCGTCTGTTAGTGGAACCATTGAGAAATCCACGTTTTATGTGCCACTGTGTATGATGTCTGGTGAGTACACATATTGGCCAGGCTAGAAAAAATAAACTTCTCTGGTTTCTTGAACCCTATTTGAGGTTTTCAAATTTAAATTCTTCATTGTATACACTTAGTGACATTTTTTTTCTATCTAATAAGAGGAAGTATCTTTATCCCATACTTCATCTTTTGAAGTTAAGGGAAACATGGTTTTCATCAGGATTTGTGAAAGTAGCAGAGGTCAATTCTTACAGAGATCTTAGCAAACAGTCTGTGGTACACACACACACACACACCCACACCCACACACCCACACACCCACACACACACCCACACCCACACACACACCCCCCACACACACCACATGACCTGTAGAGTTTGAACATCCAGACATAGGAATCTGAAATCTGGCGTTTTGTGACACATAGAACATGTGACCCAGCTCGTCCTCCCCAGCATGGGATCAGGCCAACTCTCCTAGGCAAGACACCTGCCACTTCCCAGTCCCTTGCCTATTCCACCACGTGCCCCACCTCCTTCACTGTCACCTACCCCTGATGGTGCAGTTTGAAAGTGCAGCTTCTGACAATTTTTTATGTTACATATCACCTTCAGTAGGTTCAACTGAGGGGCCCTGCCTCAATGAATAAGGTACAGGTCAATCAAGGAAGACTCCTGGTATCGGCCTTGGGCTCCCACATGTACACGCCCCTACAAATGTGACCCCCCCATCACCACAAACACATACACACCCATGTACAAACACACACACATGTAAAAAAAAAAAAACTAAACAGAAGGTGCATTGGTATTGTCCCTTCTCCCTGGGAGCTCACAGTCAGGTAGGGGAAGATAAGTCCACAAGCTAGGACTCACTGTAACTGGTTACAACAAGAATGCAGGATGCAGGGAAGGAGACCATAAACTCATACTGAGGGCCAGTTGTAGGACATGAAAAATGTGTGGAGGGTTTGAGTGAGGAAGACTAGCATGGGGCAGTAGAGAAGAGTGATGGAATTAAGAGGCAAGAAGATCTGTGAAGGTAAAAGGACCAGGAACATCCAGGGATAGGTTAGAACTCTAGAACATCATGTGGCTAGATACATACCAAGTGCAAGTGGTAGCCTTGAAAGATTTTATAAGAGACTGTGAATTTCTCGTATTTTCATCTTTGGATACGTAGACATGAAGAGTCAAGATACTTGATATCTCTGAGGACATGCTCACCATATCCCACCACCACAGAATACAGTGGCAATTTGTCTGGTTTAGGATTTTTTTTTTCATGAAGAATTTGAGTCCTAGCATCCTCAAATTATGATTACTGTGAAAACTAGAATCCCAGGAAACTAGAATTTTGAAATATGGTTATTCCTATTATCAGATTTATTAAGCAATGCATATTTCTCAAGAGCTTTCTACACTATGATATTGAGTTTTCAGGCAGTTTTTCATCTGAAATAGAACGGTTGTATGCTTATCTCTCAGATGTTGAAATCAATGTAGGAAGGTTAAACAGCATGTCCCAGGACAAGAGACAAGGACAAGAGAGTTAAGATCTGTGCCCCAGGAAGTCAGCTTTAAAATTCTATATTCTTTATGACAGTGGCTTCGAGGGCCCAAGTTTCTTAGGAAAACAACCCAACAACCCAGATCATCCAGCGGGAGCAGGGGGGGGGGG